AAAACATATCAAATTACTGTTGGAATCTCAAACTCCTTTTCTATTTGGATTTTGAAATCTTCTCTCTTTTCTTCCTTTTCACTTCACCAGTATACCCACCTTGTAGCTGTCCCCTTCTCAATGCTTTGAACCCCAAATCGCTCCTTGTGGATAGCCAAAGCTTCACCGAAGCGCCCAATTTGCTTTCGCACTTGAGAAGGATCAACATCATAGAAAGTCGGCAAAACTATTTGATTTAGCTTCTCCCTGCTTTCAAATTTTAACAGAACAATGGTGAATGACATGGAGCTAAATCAACTTTCCGAAATTACTAGCAAAGCTCCTGATGCTGCAGCGAAGTAGTCCGTAAGTATTATTCCAACAATGCCACAAGATTCCCGTTTAGGGAAAAGGACGGCGATGCTCCAGTCACCCGTCGCATTCGATTTATGGGAAGAAACTGGTTGACGCAGTCCTGATCATGCTCTTCTTCCTTATCAATTGATATAAGGGTTCTTTTTCCATCCCGGGGCTTTTCTTAATTTTGGGGGACTTTGGGTAGGGTAATGGGTAATGTTTAAGTGAACGGGGTTAAAAAATTGGGATGTGTCTGTTTAATCCCATGCCGCCACGTGGCACTCAGTCCAAAATAAGGGTATATTTGTACCATAGTATAACGGCAGGGTCCGAAATAACCACTTAGTGAAACAAAGGATATATTCAAACTATTTTCAATAGTACAGGGGTATACTTGGCCCTTTACCGTTATATTAATCAAACTAACTTTTCAACCATCATTTGATATTTTCTTCCCTTGTACTCAATATATAAAGCCCAACTAATATCTTAAGCTCAGTGTCTAGTCAAGTGACGTCACATAAAGGGGACCACGAGTGTAATTTGTTTGGCGTGCAATGTTGGAGTACCTCTTTTTCAAGGGCAAGCAGCAATCAAGCTGCTGAACCCAAACTGAAAGATACTTTCCGTGTCCAGTGGAGCTCTATGTAGGCTTTAGTTTGGTAACTCATGAGGAACTGAGCAGAACCTACTTGGATTGAATTGGTATGCAGCCCTCTCAATGCATCCTAGTCTCTGTCCTGTGGATGGTGAGCTTGTGTTCTTAACATTTAGTATTACTCAAACCTTTTTCCGTTTATGTGAGTCAGAGGGGTCTTCTCTTCTCTGTTGTGCTTTCATGCAGCCAATTCTAGTGGACATACAGAGGTCTTTATGTTTATACTAAGTTTGGATGGAACTGGGCATCTCTTCCTTTTCTAGCTATGGAGTATTACTTCGCCTATCCAAACCCTTCTCCTTTGAGATGGCTTTTGATTATCATCTTTTTTTCATTTCCATAAAATCAGGAGAACGCATAATGGATTATATGAATTTGGATGATAGATCAATTGGGATGTTTTGGGTTGTGTCCTACACAATGGCCCAGCCTGCTTGTGAAACTGTGATGCACTGGTTAACCTCCGCTGGGGTTACTGAGCTTTTACCTGGACCAAATTTGCAGTCTAACGAGAGGTTAATGGTGATGCGTGAAGTTAGCCCGCTGCCAATATCATTGTTATCAGGATTTTCCACAAATTTGTGCTTGAAACTGGCTTTTCAGATGGAAGAATCAATGTTTTCTGGACAGGTACTGACTATGGTTTCCTCCTGTTGGTCTTTTACCAAAATTAAAAAGAAGAAAGTAATTTACTTTCTTCAAGCTTATGGATCTCAAGATCACCGATCAATTCATCTACATGCCTTCTATATATATATATATAAAGTTTAGTACTCAAGAGCAATACTATACGATTTTGTCAACAGATTGGTAGGTCTCCCTTGTCCACTCTTTCTTGTGGTTTTATTTGCTTTGATCATGTTGTTTGGGAGGGATATTATCCGTTCACATTTACTGCAGCTTTATTATCATACTAACTCCACTCTGACTGAGAGCAAGCCAGTATTTCCCCGTTCCCTTTTTCTTTTGAAGGTTCATTGTACCTGTTGTGAATGCTTAATATCATTCTATCATTTCATTGCAGGCTGTGCCTAGCATTGCTGTGGTTGAAACATACTGTAGGTTGATGCTCATTTCTCCCCATTCGTTGTTTCGCTCACTCTTAACTGTAACTTCTCCTCTTTTCCCTCCTAATATTCCTTCTTTGGTATTTAATTTTTTGGCATGCCACTGCATTTTCTCCGGAACTACATTCATTGTGTTAATCCAGTAAGCGAAAGAAACCTCCTGAGAATGTCACTACTGGTTATGTGCCAAATTTGCTATAATATCTGTATATGGTTCAGTACTATTTTGCTTCGTAACAGTCTAAACGGCAAATGCTATTGTTGAGTTACTCCACCAAATATAACTTATCAATTGGATAGAGTTCTCTAATTTCAGACATCACACTCTAGGTTGAGAACAAGTATTTATGAAGAATTTGTTGCTTGCTCCTCTCACTGTGTCTCCATTAAAAGTCTGAAGCGAAATCCTCAGATGAGTTGCATGGCCCCAAAACAATGTTTCTTTGTATTTTAGGCCTTCAACTAGTTGAATGTATTAAATTCATCAAGGAATAAAATACCATGATTGGATAGGCACAAAGCATTCTTTGATGGTATTTTACCATTATGAAAGGTGATGGCTAGCATTGTTTTTAAAAGCGAAAAGCACAAAAAATTGACGAGATACCTAGGACTTTGAAGTGAAAAGCGAGAAGTAAAGCGCAGAATTCACGACATTAAAAGAATACCAGACATTTATGAATTCAGTACTATAATGATTAGCCTGCAATTACAGTAACTAATTTTTAGTATCTGATTTACAATAACATTGGTATTAATCTTACTCCTCAAAGTTGAGATTCAAAGAACAGACCCCTTCTTATAGAGATCGCTTTGCCTGTCGTTGTTTGAAGTGCATGGTTTCAGTGATGAAGTGATAACCCTTGCTTTGCATCGCTTCATCTCTTTAAGCTACAAACCGATGGCTTTTAATAACACTGGTGGCCACTCAGGCTGTACTATGCAATGAGTTTTTACTTCCCAAATATTATCTGAAATTTAAGCTGGTGTTTCATGAAAGCGCTTCACTGAAAGAGATGGTATTTTACAGGTTGTAAACACTTTAGAGTTGATGCTAGTATAAGAATTTGCCGAAGATCAAAATAAGCTGAAATTTCATAATGATTTTTGATTGTCTTTGCATCACTGACATTAACAATCATTCTCTATCTTGTAGATATAAGAATTGTTTTTGGGGCTATAATATTTTGAATGGTTTCGGTGTGCCTTTATGCAATGAATATGTTACATGTGTGGCACTTTAAGTGCTTATTCAGTCAAGTAGCAGAACTTTTGTCCTGCTGTGCGATGTCATTAGCTTGTCCTCGCCCCTAGTAAGCATAAAACTGGAATTTTCTCTTAGTCTCCATAACACACATTTTATGAGTTATTTTTACTTATCCGACTTGATCATCTCTTTGTTATTAATGTACGAGCTATTTATTGTTACCATTATTACTATTAGCCATCTTTGTCGTACTACTACTAGGTAGAGAGAATCCAAACCAATTTATTATTGCTGTAAGCAAGATTAGATATTTGGTATTAGTCGCAGATTCACATTAATGGCTATTCCAAATTATCCCCTTTTAATGTCAGTGTCTATACAATGTAATATACCAAATTATATATTTTTGAGTATTTTTGTTTCTTTTCGGATTAGTTGAGAATCTTTTCTTTTTCCTCTTAAGATTTTGAGCAAAGAGTTATTATATTCATAATGCTGCTGCAAACGCGAAAAGCATAAGTGGTCCACATCAAGAAATGTAAATTTAGACATCGGAAAGTGTGTATATAGAAATTGTCGGCTTAAGACATTTGTATTCATTTTCTTCAACCTGCTCTCCTTTTTTTCTCTATTTTTCCACACGATATCAAAGCTTTGGCGAGAAATTATGTGATGGATCGTGAAGATATTGTTGTCGTGCAATTTTATGACGGTCACATCTGATTGAGGTTTTGTTGTCTTCTGTGAGCTGCTGTTCTCAAACCAGCAGCACCATCAGTTTTTGGACATTTGTGAAAGCATAACTCAAGAAATGAGCTACCATGGAACCTCAACTTACTATAGTAGGAACCTCGACACGCCTCGAGAACCGTCCGAGATTTGCCCACATGTGCCAGTGAGTGCAGCATATTGGACTACTTTCATCCCATGACTCCAGCACTCTGTTGATCGACTTATAAGTTTGATTCAACTCATTCTAATTTCATCTCTTGTCAGTGCAAAAGACCCTAGACCAATGAAGGCCCAAGAGCTTATCAGCGAGATTTTCTCAGTGAGTGAAGGTCACAAGCCAATTCCCCAATGTCTATTAAACTAAGGTGGTAGTGCAGAAAAGGTTAATTCACTCTGGGATTGGTAGTCCCAGGGGACTTCACTATTTCTTTCTGCACGGTGGAAATGGACTAAGATTTTTGCACTTGCACAGCTGATTTTCAGAAGCTTTTGACTGGTTTTTCATATTTTTTTTTAATTTAATTTTAATTTTTTAAAATTTTTTTCCGGTTGCTCAGAATTTCTCTACGAGTTTGTCGTTGTCTCTCACTCTGTGATCAAAATTTTGGCATTATTTTGGTCGACTTGATCTTTTGACTCTACGCTAGCCAATTCTAGAATTTTCTGGCTGCCAGAGACCTAATTAAGCAGCCTTCAATCTATTATTTTGGGTGTTTATCGCATTTCTCAGCCACTGCTAGTCACTTTTCCGGCATCTTAGAAGTTGAGTCATTGTGGTAACCCTTTCCATTCAATTTCCAGTATCCTTCAATGAGTATCGGACGGTTATCAGATTAGCTGTTTTCATTATGGTGAATTTCCAATTTCCCACAGCTTAATAAGCATGCTCGTTCCTCTGAAGAGCAAATGCTTACTGAATGTGTTTAGTTGGCTCAATCAGGCCCCTGTATCTAGCTGTGAGAACTTTTTGGATTGTGTTTTCTCCTTAGCTTTAGATTAGTTTTTGTATATGAGCAGACACCATCAAGCAGTATTGTAATTTTTGTATCTTTACTCTGCATCTTCTTGATGCTTATTAATGATAATTCCTTGGTTCTTCAAACAAAAACAATGTTTGGGGTTGGTTTTATCTATTTTGTTAACTTTAATGATGATATTTAACATGTGCTGGGTTTTATTAATGCAAGGCCGTTCTATGTTGTTTTCATCTTCCAGACATTTTGTACAGAAATACAAATTTATTTTGGGGTCTTTAGTCGTCTTTTTTGTAATTATAATGCACCAGGAATCTTTTCAGTTTCAGTAGTTTATGAGTTCTCGTGAAATTCATCAGACCTCCTGCCTTTGTACGGATCTTAATAAATGAGATAGTTAGAGGAACAATGAGCATCTTATTGAGACCTAGAAGAAGATGGCTCAAATCGGGACCAAGTTGAATCAAACAAAAGTAGTGAACGCCAGCCAACTGCTGTAGCGATATTCTTCAGCTCGTCTCAAATCGACAAAGATGGCGTGGAATCAACAGTTAAAACAGTAGGAAGTGGCTAGAAATGAGATTCCTTATTTGTCGACTATTGTTGAGGTCAAAGACATTAATGGAGTGAATGAAGAAATCCTGAAAGATGAAGAACCTGAAGCTAAGGTCAGCGAAGAAGGATGATAAAATGGGTGCTAAGCATTGCTCCTAAAACTAAGACCATTGCTCCTAAAACTAAGGTGATTGGCATTACAGGTTAGAAAATAAACCAGAAGAAGGGAAAGCAAAAAGGTGTGGGAGTATTAGAGGAATTGGGAGAAAAGAGGGTGAGAAGGGTTGGGTGGATAAAGGGATCGACCAGGAATATGGGGATTTTGGTATACTCGAAGAAAATGTATCTGGAGAAGTAAACTGAAATAAGTTACAAAGATTGAGAAACCTATTTTGCACGAGAGGTATTTTCCAGCATTTCTGAAATAATGCCATAAGTAAAAGATGTCTATGATGGAGTTAAGGAAGTAGTTACTCAACTTCATCGAGAAGGAGGGTGGATGTTGGGGTTATTTCAAAGTTCAACAAAAGTAACTAATATGTCGTGTGCGTAGCAGGCAACTTTTAACATATTGAAGGGCTGCAACAATGTCATACTGCTGTAGGAACGGGTTAGGACTAGGAGACTTGGAGGTAAGAGAGGAAGCAGAGGAGGATTATGTAAGGGCAAATTTAACTGAGAGAGGTATGAAGTTGGAGACAGGATGAGAGAGGCCAGTTGTGAAGTGTGGACAGAAAAAAGAGATCCATTTTTTGATTTATTTCATCTATTCCATGACCGGAACAGGGGAGGATCACAAATATAGGACATATTTTGTTAAGCAGCATTATCGAAGACATATTTAAGTAAATAAATGTGTGCTTTCTCTTGCTTAAGCTTTTAGGAGATGGTCAGGCCATTCAGTAAGTATTATTGCCTATCCTACACCCTACACCAACATGACTCAATGCAAGTGCCTTTCCTTTTCTTTTAAATAAAATTAAGTAGCTTCATTACACAGTCTTACTGTAGCATAGGCCTTCCTCGGGCTTTGTCCTTCACCTGTAGGCAGTGACTTCCTTTCATTATCCCCTCTGCAAACTGTGTAGTTACTATACTAGTCAGTTTTAGTACCAGAATAGCGACGTTATTGTAGAAGCACTTAAGTTCCATATTCTGTCGTTTAGTGGGTTGTTCATCTTTTGATGGGTAATCGGTGTAATATGTTAGTGAATTTCCTCTAGTTTCTTGCTAATTCGGATTAATTGTGGCTTCCCATTATGGAATGCTGCTAAGATTTCTTTGTAGGCAGTTTCATTTTCTTGGTAGGAGACTTGGTTAGTCTAACTTGTGTTTTTGTTTGCACACTTTCCTACTGGAGTTCATTACGTTTTGCTCTTGATGCAAACTTCTATTGCAGCATCTGACATCGAGGAATCCCACCACATTGACCAAGCCTGGAAACACGATCTTGGTGTTTGAAATTCTTAACTATCGTTTCCTTTCACTCTACAGGTTAGTGAAGTTACTCATCTTGGGAATTCATCAGTTTCTTCTCTATTATCTATATTCTCTACTTATGTGACTGACGATCAATGTTGCTTTTACTAAAGAATAGTACATTCGCATTTGTACATATAGATAGCATTACCATCTTTTTGCACCTCCTCAATTGTTAGGATTCTGTAACTTGATTCTCTAAATAACTGATAAAAAATAAAGTCAATAAACTTCTTCCCTTTTCTAGGTATCAAGGCAAGAGCAAGACCTTGATGTATGATGTCACCAAAATGATTTCTACACTGAAGGGGAAACGTGGAGATCATCGCATTTTCCGATTGGCTGAGAATTTATGTATGAATCTGATTTTGTCGTTGAGAGATTTTTTCTATGTGAAGAGGGAAGGGAAGGTAGGAATATTTCTCCAGCTGAAATTTTGTGAATGCTCTGTACTCAAATTATAACTTTTTCTGAGCTACTCAATGCATATGCAGGGTCCAACTGAGTTTACTGAGACTTTAAATAGAATAACAATTGTTACTCTTGCAATCATAATCAAAACTCGTGGAATCGGGGAGTTTGATCAGTTACTGTATCTTCAGACAATGCTAGAACAGATTCTAGCAACTAGCCAGCATACCTGGTCTGAGAAAACTTTGCACTACTTTCCTTCAATTTTACGCGATGCTTTGAGTGGGCGAATGGATAAAAGGGGCTTGGCAATCCAAGCATGGCAGCAGGTACATGAAATGGTTCCTCTTCGTACGAATTATCTGAAGCTTTAAACTTTTTTCTCTCTTAGGTGCATGTTTCTTTGTGTTTTATGGGTTTACTTATTCTTCATACGTTTCCGCATGTCACTTTGGTAGAAAAGGTCATGACAGATGTTGAGCTCATGAAATGGAAGGAAAACCCGAGTCAAGAAAAGTTTGCATTTAAGTAGAAAAAGAAGAGAAGGGTTCTAAACTGCACCTCGATAGTCTTAAAAGTATCAGTAGAAAATATGACCCGAAAGGACAAAATATCTCATCCTAGATACATAATTTGCGAGTGCTAAAAGATTTTTGAAATTTTTTTCCGTGTTCTAAAAGTCGATACAGAATGATGAAGCTCATTCCTTAATCTAACTGGTTGTTTATTACTCCCTCTATTCCATATTATGTGTCACCATTTCCTTATCAGTCCTTCCAAAAAGAATGGCACATTTTTCATATTTGGAGACAATTTAACTTGAAATTTCCCAAATTTATCCTTAACGACATGCTTCTTAGACACATATATGCTATGCCATGTTTAAGGCCACAAATTTTAGAGGTCTTTTTTTTCTTTCTTAAATTTGGGTGCCTAGTCAAAACTCAAACGCCAGCACATAATTTGAAAAAGCGAAAGTACTTATTTTACTCAAGTTATTAATATTTATTCAGAATTACCTGTGCATCTCATACGGTTGCCAGTTTTAAATGCTAAATGTTTGCTTAAGCCCTAACATATTTACTTGATGCCATGAAGAGCCTGTGTGATAATTTTTATCAGGACTTAAAGCTGAACAAATTAAGCAATTAGATTTTGGATGTGTTTGACAGTGTAAAATGGAAATCACTTACCACATTAAGTGCCAATTAAAACCTTTACAGCCTCAACATCGTCCATAAGTAGAGATTTAAATAGCAAAATTCTAAGTAACCAGATGATCATTTATTAAGGGAAGTGAAGTACTTATTAAATTTATGGTTGTTGGTTGCATATTAAATCATAGAGAACAGCTCAAGTTTGCATTTAGTGGTAGTATTCCGTATTGGCTAGTCAGAACTCCCATGTGCAAAAGATGAAAGTAGCAGAAATGAGGATCTTGAGATGGATGAGTGGGTGTACCAGGAGTGATAAGATTAGGAATGAAGTTATTCAGGACAAAGTGGGAGTGGCCTCCGTGGAGGACAAGATGGGGGACTCAAGGTTCGGGCACGTTAAGAGGAGAAACATTGATGCTCCTGTTAGGAAGTGGGAGAGGTTTGCCATGGCGGGTTTGAGAAGAGGTCGAGATAGGCCAAAGAAGTACTGGGGAGAGGTGATTAGGTTGGACATGACACTCCTTCAACTTGCTGAGGACATGACCCTTGATAAGAAGGTGTGGAGGTCGAGGATTAGGGTAGAAGGTTAGTAGGTAGTTATAAGTTTCTCCTTTTCATACCAGTAGATTTAGTAGCACTCATGTAGCTTCATATTCTTAAATCTATGTTACGTCATATTGTTGAGTTCGCTTCAATTATCGTTTATCCCTGTTGTCACTATTTGGTACTACTTGTTCTTCTTCACTTGTGGGAATATAATGGGTTTGTTGTTGTGGTTGTTGGTAGTATTCAGTATCCAGACTTTTATCTTCTGCGCCCGACATTCAAAGGTTAATTTGCTTAGTTACAAATGTTTCAGATTTTGAACTTGAGCCGTTAGTATCAGTTCTATCAAGCAGAAGCTGTAATCTTAATGATTGAATTTATTCCCAGCTGCTTTGTGAGGAGTCAAATTGCTAATGAGTGATCTCCTGAAGTAAAGAAGAATAAAGAAAGGAAAAGAGTATGATTTAAGACGATAGGTTTATTTGTTGTCATTAAACAGTATGGCTCCGCGAAAAATAATAGACCAAATATTCATGAATTTGAGGCTTTTTGCAAACCACTGGCAAGATGTTTCCTGTATAAGTTTGCTCGTGTTGTTTTTCTGGAGAGCTTACAATTGACTTCAAGATGTTTTATCTGCAGGCAGAAACAACTGTTATCAATCAATGCACACAGCTTCTTTCTCCATCGGCTGATCCCACATATGTTATGACTTATATTAACCACAGTTTTCCTCAACACCGCCAGTATCTTTGTGCTGGTGCGTGGATACTAATGCATGGACATCCGGAGAATATTAACTGCATAAACCTTGTAAGGCTCGCCCTTGTTTTCCTCAAGTTATTAGAAGCTTTTGTGTAGTGATCATCTCATCGACTTCTTTCTCATATGGAGATATCCCTACTAAAACACATTTTTCTCGCATGACGGCGTTCCTGCTAATAATTGGATACAGGGACGTGTCTTGAGGGAGTTTTCTCCTGAAGAGGTGACTGCAAATATTTATACAATGGTAGATGTTTTGCTTCATCATATTCACTTGGAACTACAGCGTGGACATCCCTTGCAGGTTTTGTCGTACTCCTTTCTTATTGATTCTCTAGACCTATCAAGTTTTCACGGAGTATTGACCCTCCTTGCTTTGCTTTTTTCTAATGTCTTCCTCTTTTCATTCCTCAGGATCTTATGCTAAAAGCATGTGGAAACCTTTCAATTTTCATCTGGACCCATGAGCTTTTGCCTCCAGATATCTTGCTACTTGCACTTATTGACCGCGATGATAATCCACATGCTTTGCGCATTGTAGTATGTTCTTTATGATCTTCCTCAATTAGTTTTCTGTCTTTATTAGTCTTAGTCAGTTGTGAAGAGCGGTGTAAGCCTATGATGCTTAATTTTCCGTTAATGATTTATTGTTATCTGCTTATAATATTCTTTTGACGGCATCTTCTCCCAATATAATCAGGGGAAATGGTATTTTGACATCATGTTTTTGTCATCTGTTGTAGACTCCGTAGTTTGGTGCTGTTTACACTTTCATTCTTACGCTATAGTGTTATGAGGACAAAGGGATAATTCTAGCTTGCTTGAAGAAGGCATCATCTTTGTTAAATGGACATTGGGTCTAACACAACCCCAAAAGCTAGCTCAAGAGGTGAGGATTACCCAAGTCCACAAATCCTATTCATTGTCGATGTGGGACTCAATACCCCCTCTCACGCCCAGGACTGGACATCTGGAGCGTGGACAATTATGGGGGCCCAACATTCGAAAATAGGGATAGGTTCTGCTCTGATACCACTTGTTAGGACCGAAAAAAGTCAGGTGTCATGCGGAAGCTAGTAAAGCAAACCTTCAACGACGATAAATCAGACAACAAAAGAGAAATCTACCAAAAGAGACGCAAACATTTAACGTGGTTTGGTCAACTGACCTACGTCCACGGCGGAGATGAGCAATCCACTATAATAAAAAGAGAGTACAAAATATCGAGAGAACAACCTCACAAAGAGGCAAACACAAGTGACACACTAACACTTATCCCATAAAGTTCTCCCCCTAAACAAGACTCTCAAGCCCCCTATGGCTACATTGTGGATGCTACTGAAGAGAAGGACAGATCTTCAATTAATAGAACTCCAAACCTTTTTCTACAAGAAAAAGGGACTAGCCAAATATGGAAGAATTATATTTTCCTTCTAAGAAAAGAAAAACCCAATTATGGTAAATATGTTGTCCTTTCCTTCATGAGATAGGAAAACCAATTATGGTAAGAAAATCTGGACAAACACCTAACAATTCTCCCCCTTGGCTTGAATTTTCTGGCAAAATAAACTTGATCAACCTTCTTCGCATAGCCTTCAACAGGGTCGCATCTCCAAATCTACACCACAAAGTTTGTCTCAGCGTGCGTAGCATGCCGGTCAAATTTCTCAGACAAAATTACGATTTTCGTCAAATGTGTTGCGGCTAGAACTGAACCCGCCAAGATGAACCTGTCTTGAACCTCGCTCTGATACCAATTTGAAGGATTGAAATACCCCGAAGAACAATTTAGGCACAAGCAAAAAATTCAGCAAAAGCTATATAGAAGAAATTTATTAAACTAGGGAGAGAATATGGTAGGAGGCTTTTTCACAACTCATAAACTCTTGAATCTCTCTACATCGTAGCTACCTCTCCACAATAGAAAATATGTAGTAGCACCCTATTTATAATACTACAAAATCAAAAACCTATTCCAATATAAAATTGGTAAACAAAACCTAACTAGACATGAATTAAATAAACTACCAAATATCAAATCCTAGACAACTTAGGAATACTAATTAATCATGGTTTAATTTCCAACAGCCTCCCTTAAACCAAGATCTTCAAACTTGAATATGCCATAAGTAACATCAAGTCTTGTAGAAGTCAAGTACCTTAGACTCTCCACCAATTTCCTAAAATATGTAGCATCAACAAAATCACTAGTATCATCTTTAGTTAACTTCAATTTCTCTTCAATATTGGTCATATATGATTTGGATATAACCTTGGTAAATTCCTTCAAAATATCATCAACATATTTTTCCTTTACTTTGAAATCATCTACTTCTCTAATTGCCTTGTGGTTGGTCTCGTACACAGATTCAACTCCAATTAGCCATTCTATAGGTTGTAGAGTAATGCCGTTAATAGATTTTTCTTCTTGCTCCTTGAAACATGTAATCTCGAATAATAGCACAAAATTGATTACATCTTCAATATCTATAATCATGTGTTGTTCTGGTTCTAGATCCCAAACTATATTCACCTCAATCTCATGCAGATCATCAAAGACTTTTTCTTGATGAATTATCTTGCTTTTTCGTTAATAGGTTCATCTTCAATACTATCAAATAACTTTTCAGGTGAAACACCAACCTCTTTCGGACGAACGTCCCTTGCAACCAAATCTTCCTTTTTAACAACCAGAGAAATTTTTGGCAGATCAATTTGAATATTATTTGACTTCCCTTCGCATTCAATAGAATTTCTATCACAACAAAAATTACATGTACCTTTTTTTTTTTTGATAAGGTAAATTGTATTAATCAAAAGGGAGAGAACTCCTGTATATTGGAAGTATACCAAAAAGTAGAGAATTTACATCAGAATATGATTCTCTACAAAGGACGCCCAATCTTCTATACAAGTAGGGGCTATATGAGTGCACCAAAAAGCGATCAACGATAAAAGACTATTCTTAAGATGTGAAAAAGGAGACTCAATCCCCTCAAAGGCTCTCCTATTTCTCTCTCCCCCAAACTATCCACATGAGAGCTAACGGGGCGAACTTCCACGCCTTTTGCTTTCTTCTTCTACGGAAACCGGCCCAGCTATATTACATTTCCTTTACAGTGCTTGGCATCACTCATTGAACACCAAAAAGATTCAGGATTGCCCTCCACAAAGCCGAGGACACAGGGCAATGCAATAAAAGATGATCAAGTTCTTCCCCTGAGCTTTTACACATGTAGCACCAACTAACATGTGTAATTCCTCTCTTTTGCAGATTTTCAGCAGTCAAAATCACTCCCCTCGCCGCTAGCCATGCAAAAAAGCACACCTTCATGGGCGCCTTAGGAATCCAGATCGAGGAGCATGGAAAAGTGGCCTCCTCTCTCACCAACATACTCTAGTAAAAGGACTTTACGGTGAACAAACCATCGCCACGCAAACCCCAACTCCAAGAATCACAAGATGGTTGGGGCTTGTCTTACCTTCTCTTATTTTCTCCTCTGTTTCTGAATTTTGGCCTTCTTGATTTATTTTCGTCATCTTTGATGTGTCTTCTTTTTCTTTTGGTTGATCATCTTTTTCTTGTGATGCCTCCTCCAATGTCTCATCTTTCTGTTGATTCAATGATCTCTCATATGTCACCAATTCACCTTCTAAATCATCAAGTCCGAGAGTACTAAGATCTTTGGTAGCCTTAAGGATAACTTTCTTGTTGCTAAACTTTAAACTTAGAGACTGCAATATTTTTTCAACAATTTTAACTTCTTCCCATACTTCTCCATTGGTCCTTAGACTATTGACTATTTCTTCAATTCTTGTAAAAAATTCTTTGATAGACTCTGTTGGTGTCATACGAGCCAACTCAAATTGACTCTTAAACTCTTGCAGTTTCTCCTTCTTTATGTCAACAACTTTTCGATATGACTTCACCAAGATTGTCCAAGCCTCCTCTGATGACTTTGCATGCAAATATTTAATGCAATTCGACCTTGATGGCGAGATAGTAGCGTGCCTTATAATCTAAATGTCTCTTCTTCTCCAATTGCGTAGCTGCATCACCTGTCAATGTTGTGCCTTCTAGGGGTTCCTCAAATCCTTCATCAATGGCGATACCAAATTTCAAAATTATTTTTGCCTTCAAACACAAAAACGGGACAATTAGGTAATAGAGTATCTATATGTTTGTTGGATCTCCTATCGGCTCTGACAGAATCTCACACAGGCTCTGATACCATGTCAAATGGACATTGGGCCTAACTCAATCCCAAAAGCTAGCTCAAGAGGTGAGGATTGCCCAAGTCCATATAAGGATACCACACATCCCATTCATTGTCGATGTGGGACTCAACAATCTTCTCTTTGGCTATGATGTTTTACTGTCTGTCTAGCTGATCGAACTGTAATTTGTGATAGGGAATTGCTAAATTCCAACCTTCTTATGTTTGGGCTATTGGAGCTATCTTCAACAATTAAAAACTGGGGAGAAGAACTAAATGAACTGCGAACAAAAGTTCTAGCTCTGGTTTTCTACGAAATCAAAGTATACTCATTTACTAAAAATGAATAATTTCAGCAGCATTTGATTAGTATGAGATTCCAAGCCTACCGGTCAGGAATCTCATTCCTCTGTATCATCCAAGACAATTCATAAAAGAATTCTCTGTCCAGCTGATCGAACTGTAATTTGTCATAGGGAATTGCTAAATTCCAATCTTCTTATGTTTGGGCTATTGGAGCTATCTTCAACAATTAAAAACTGGGGAGAAGAACTAAATGAAGGGCGAACAGAAGTTCTAGCTCTGGTTTTCTACGAAATCAAAGTATACTCATTTACTAAAAATGAATAATTTCAGCAGCATTTGATTAGTATGAGATTCCAAGCCTACCAGTCACGAATCTCATTCTTTTGTATCATCCAAGACAATTCATAAAGCAGGCCTATCTGGTTTAACGTCTGAAGATGTACAATATTATGATCTCAAGGTGTCCCATAACACTATTCTGGAACATTGGTTCTTATTGCTGTTGACATAAACACCTTTTAAGTTTTCTGCTCCTCTAGCATCTTACATGTCCAACCATAGGTTAACAAGGTAGGTGGTGACTTTGTTAATTATTTCAAGTCTATAACTCTAAGTGGTTCTTTCTCCTAATGATTGGAATGTGTCTTTCCTTTTATAGAAAGTGGATTAAATACCTGTTGTTTTGGTTCATGCTACTGTGGTAGAAGCAACTATGAGCTATCCTCTGACATATTGAAACAAGTTAACTTCTATCTTTTCCTTTCCGAGTATGACAGAAAGACGAATTTTGTGGTAAGAGCATGAAAGTTATGGAGTTGCAGTACCCAGAGAGGGACATTGCACTTCTACAGAGAATTGCTGGGTCAACAATCATATCTCATTCTTGTTCATTTTGCCTTGAATAAGAGAGAAAGTCTCTTTACTTTTGACAATAAGAGAGAAAATTACAAGTGTTAGTGTCACGACCCAAAATCCATCTAGTCGTGAATCGTGATGGCACCTAACCCAACCCGATAGGTAAGCCAAATAACATTCGACACAACTCAAATGAGAATAATAAGAGCCAATGAGTAAAACTTCCGTACAAAATCTCAAGGATTGGTAGTACAAATCATGAGCTTTTAAGACATACAATTTACAGAGCTGGTACGAAACAAATACATCATTTGTCCGAAATATACATAAACAGATATGCAAATCTAAAGCTACCAAGGACAAGTGGCAGCTATGACCAAAACGCATGTACATCTTCAATGCAAGCTCCCGCCATACACAACATCAACTGCAATATCTGCACGCAAGGTGCAGAAGTGTAGTATGAGTACAACCGACCCATGTACTTAATAAGTAATGAACCTAACCTCAAGTTCAAAGCAGTGACGAGCTCGGAAGATAGTCAGAGTCCAACATCAATAATCAATAATAACATGAGATATGTTAATGTCAGAAACAGTAAACAACTCAAAATAATATTATGCTCAGCTTGGTCACAATTACGGGAGAATAGACATGTTTTTCAAGTATGACAGTCAAGTCCAAATTTTACCACCGAAATCATTTAAACATGAGTTTATCAAAAGAACTGCATTTTTTCAATTCATAACATCAGATAAGAATTTCCGTTTACCATTTAGTATGGGGAAAGTATATCTCTATGCCTACATGTCAATATCCATGTCAAATCATCAATTATCATATGCCGTCTAGCATGAGGAACATACATCTCTATGCCTACATGTCAAATATACATGTCAAATCATCAATTATCATCATAGTGAAACCATAAAAAATAACCACACTTAGCACATTCACGGTGCCTGGCCCAAGGCCCTCACCAACACACACAACACTTAGCACTGTACAGGTGCCTGGATTAAATGCCCATCACTAAGGCAGGTATATCAAAAACAGTGTGCCTGCGCCCACTGTTGGCATGCCAGACTCCGGAAGGGTGGATTATGCCCAACCGTTAATCATAATCACTAAGCCCAAATAGTGGGCTTGGTGCACGCGTCACCCCAAATCAATAACACTTAGCCCAATATGAGCCTGACGTACGCGTCACCTTAAAATCAATACCAAATCTGCTCTATTTGGGCCAAACTCAGTCATTAACCGTTTAAGTCTCAAATAAACACATCTCACAATACTCAGTTCAACAGTGTTACACATAGGAGGCATCAACATGTGAGGAATCAAATAAGAAAGTACTGAGACAGAGATGTCATACACGGATGTAGCATCATGACCGAGAACATGTGTACAATTAGAGCAAATAGCTCAGAACCGACAAGAATAGCCCTATCAAGACTCAAGCAGGTAGCACATAGCCTAGACATGATTTCTAACATGATCAGAACTCAATTGTTCATACAGGTCTAGAAAACACGGATATAACAAGGCATGATAGCAAAACAATCCCATAATAGCCTAAAAGCCACCTATAATCATGAACACTCTAGTGACGCCCGTCACCTAGCGTGTACGTCACCCCAATACCTCTCATATAATATAGTTTCCAGGGTTAAATACCCTCAAATCCACGTTTAGATATATTACTTACCTCGAATATGCCAAATCAAATTAGAGCAAGCCAAACAACACTTTAGATACGCCATCCCGCGTGATTCAACCTCCGAATGGCTCAAATCTAGCCAAAAGCAAATTAAAACATCAAATAATGCCATAGGAAATAAACCCAAAGCGATAAAGGTCGAATCTTTAATCAAATACTCAAAGTCAACCAAAAATTCAACTCGGGCCCGCACCTCGGAACCCAACAAAACTCACATATTCCGACAACCCATTCAATTACGAGTCCAACCATACTAATTTCACTCAAATTCGATTCCGAATCGATGTTCAAATCTCAAATATTCACTTTAGAAAAATTTAGGTAAAACCCCACAATTTCTCTTTTAAATTCATCAATCAAATGCCAAAATCGAAGATGGAATCACGAAATATAATGAAAACCCGATTCAAAGACACTTACCCTAATCCATGTGGTGAAAATCCTCTCCAAAATCGCTCAAATCCGAGTTCTCCAACTCAAAATGTGATAAAATGAACAAACCTTCGAAATATATAACATCTGCCAGCATTTCCGCGTATGCGGTCACTTAGTCGCATCTGCGACCTCCGCTTCTGCGGTTCTCGTCTCGCATTTGCGAACGTGCGACCTCTTACAATTTCTCGCATCTGCTGACCCATAGCCGCATTTGCGGCTCTGCAAGTGCGTTCCGCATCTCGCAGAAGCGCTCCCGCATCTGTGCCAAAACCTCCGCCAAAGCGGAACTCCTTTGGACACCTCCCCTTCGCAGAAGCGACCACTCCATCCCATAAGCGAGTCCGTACCTGCGACCATATCTGTGCAGGTGCGAAGAACCAACACCAGAACTGCCCAACATGCTCAAAATAATCCGAAACACTCCCGAGCTCCTCGGGACTCCGTCCGAACATAACAACAAGTCCCAAAACATAACACGAACCTACTCGAGGCCTCAAATTACGCATTACAACATCAAAATTACGAATCACACCTCAAATCAAACTTAACGAACTTATGAACTTTCAACTTTCAAAACTTGTGCTGAACCTTATCAAATCAACTCGGAATGTCCTCGAATTTTGCACACAAGTTCCAAATGACATAACAAACCTATTCCAACTCCCGGAACAACAATCCGAATGCGATATCATTAAAGTCAACTCGCCGTAAAACTTATGAACATTCCAAACCTTCAAATTGCCAACTTTCGCCAATTCGTGCCAATACCTTCTAGAGCCATCCAAATGTAAATTCGGGCATACGTCCAAGTCTAAAATCACCATCCGGACCTAACGGAACCGTTTGAACTCTGATCCGGGGTCAAATTCACAAAAGTCAAACTTGATCAACTCTTTCAACTTAAAGCTTTCTAGTTGATAATCATTCTCCCACAAAAATCCCGAATCACCCGAAAACCAAAACGACTCTTCACACAAGTCATAATACGTCATATGGACTCATGTCCTCGAACCACCGAACGGAATGCAAATAATCAAAACGACCGGTCGGGTCGTTACAATTAGAGTGAAGACTACATTTTTGCGAGCTGGCAAAACAATGATTTCACTCATATAGGAACAAAATCCAGTGTCTCATAGGATGACCTTTTTTTTGCTTTCTGTGCAAGTGGTTCATTCTTGTTGTGAACCTGACCGTGATCATAAGAGCTTTTCATTCACATTCATAAATATGATGACTTTCAAATGTTATAAGTAGTTCTTTTGCAATTTATTGAAATAGTGATATATTTGGTACATCAAAACGTCCTCTTTTTCTTTCTCACTTTTCGACACCTTTTGTTCAAATTCCAAACAGATTAACTTACTTGACAGTAAGGAGCTCCAACAAAGAGTAAAACTTTATCTCATAAATCGTGGCCCACCTGAACATTGGCTTTCTTCTGGACCTTTCAAGCGTGTGGAACTGCAGAAAGCTCTTGGAAACTATCTGTCATGGAAGGAAAGGTAACAAATTGAACATTTTTTTTCCAACAAGTGGGTAACATCTTGGACAATATTATATGCAATCTAACGGTTCCTTGTAATTGCTGAATGTTTAGATATTAACAGTTGGATCAAGTATATATATGGTTGCAAAGTAGGTAAACATATCTCTATGTCGAATGTTTATTCGGATCTTCCCTAAGCATAGGTTTGTATCTGTAAGGCCTCATTTGTTTGCACTTAATGGGGTCTTAATCTTAATCATTCAGATCTCAGACATTAAGTGCACTTCTTTTTAAAGTGTGGATCTTAATTTTTTTTATAATGGTAACATGTAGTGTGGATCTTAATTATTCAGATATTAGTTATTAAGGGTGTTTGTTTTTTTATTTCACAATCACTTAATGGGTCTGAATGATTAAGATATATAACAAAGACTTAATTTCATTAAAATGTTATAATCCACATTCACTACTAACCGCCACCTAGGGCTGCTTATCGGACGGATTGGGCGGTTATTTACTCTTAACGGTTTGGCTTCTCGGTTATCTGCTTTTAAATGTATTAATCCACTAGCCACCCGATAAGATATCGGGCGGAGTGGTATCGGTTTAGCTCTTATCGGGCGGTTATCGAGCGATTTATCGGTCTAGTTCAATCTATATAGCGTGCATTAGTTGTTTCCTAATTCAGAATAGGAAATTATACATTGAGTCCAGACATACATGTCTGTTAACGCCTACATAAGAATGATGTAGTGTGTCATGTGTTGTAGAGTGAAAAAAGCAGAACACATTGCATAGAGAGTGGCAACCATGATAAGGTTACTATAAGATGTTGGACAAGGACAAAGATAGGTACAATTATATCCTTTAAGGAGGTCTGATGGTGTATGACTTCTTATGAAGTACTAATTACTAAAACTTCCTTCTATTTAGTGGAATATGTGTGTTACAGAGAATGTTTGAATAGTTCAAGCAAGGTGACACAACTGTTCTAAGGTTAAAGTGTACATCTGTCAACTGTCATGAGAGGCGCTAAGCTTAGTATCACATGAGCTTATGAGAAGATGAGCTGAGTGTCAAAGATATGACAGGATGACCGAGTGAGAATAAGTTACCATAAAGCTCTGAGACTATGTCTTTTTGGCTTTAATCCAAGTGGGGAACTCTATCATTGATAACTAGATCGGATGAGCATCTGTTGTTACGATCCCTAGACTAGGGTTAGAGATAGAGTACTGAAGTGGAAGGGTTTTTGATATATATATATATATATATATATATATATATATATATATATATATATATATATATATATATATATATTCTTAACGGCTTAACGGATTATCCGTTAAGAAAATTGAATAATCCGCCCCCACACCGATAAGCCGTTAATAAAAAAAGTTCAATCTATTCCTCGTCCGTTAAACCGTTAACTCGATACCAATAAGCCATTAAGCTTCGGTTTCGGTTTGGTTTTGAACACCCCTACCGCCACCACCGCCCACCATTATCACCTACCACTATGCACCACCCATAACTACTATACTAAACCACACCGACCACCACATCCTCAATCATAGCCGCCACTGCCTTTATTATCAACTACCACTACCCACCACCCCAGCATTATCAACTATTACCACCCACTAACCCCACCATTATTAACTAACCCCCACCATCATCTCAACCACATCCACCTACCCATCCACCTGAACTACCACCAGCTACTACCCCCACTGTCATCATCAGCTTTAACCGCCATTGTCCACCATTATAAACTATTACGACCCACCACCACCTTCTTCAATCACAACTACCACTACCAATCACCACTAGCTACTACGTAGAACCACCGCCATCAACCAAAACCACCGCCTCCAATCGGCATCCACAAGCACCGCCGTTAGCAATCATCACCACCAACTACCATATTATTTTTTAAAACATATTTTGTTAATGAAATATTAGATTAACTAATATATTATTTGAATTTTATATTTATTAATTTTAGATAAAGATAAATTTTATACATTTAGATGTTGTAAAAACAAACAGTCTTAATCATTTAGTATTTGGATATTGATCCACATCTTAATTTTCGAATGTGTATTCAAATTCCGACATTTAATCTTAATACACATCTTAATATTACGATGTGCATCCAAATTCAAACGTCTTAATCTTGAAAAAAAATAAAGGAGGCCTAAGTCAACATTTATTTTATCTAAAAGGGAGTAAGATACATTCATGGTTGTTGATATGCTTTTCAATGAGTAGAAATCTATTTTTAGAGTACATTTAGTTGACAGATGTGTTAAGCTGTGCTATCATTAGGATAACACTTCTATATTGCCACGACCTAAAATCTCACCAATGGTCGTGATGACACCTAACCTGCTTGCTAGACAAGCCAACACTCAACAACAACAATAGACTTCAATTATTAAGCCATTAACTGTTTCATGATATAAATAACAATGCAGGACATAAATCTCAAATCAATAACATAAATGCATAATCAAAAACAGGTATAAACTCGGCTACAATTGTCTAACAAATGCCTAAAACCCCGGTGTCACTACATCACAAGCATCTAATAAGAGTAACTAGTTTCAGCTGAACAATAACATCTGTTCGGAGAAGAAATACACAGAGAGAAATGAATAAGTACGGAAGGGGAACTCCATGTGTTGCGGATCAGATAAAGTAAGGTAGCTCACCACGAAGTTTCCAACAAACACTCCTAGGCAGCTAGATGGTACCACAAATACCTGCCCAGAACAACAACAAACCTAGTATAATTCCACAAGTGGGGTCTGGGGAGGGTAGTGTGTATGCAAAGTCGTAGACTTTACCCCTACCTTGAAGGTAGAGAGGCTGTTTCCAAAAGACCCCCGACTTTAGAAAAGATGAAAAGAAAGCAGTAGCAACAAACAGTAACAACAACAAGATATTAAGAAACAAGCGTAATGAACATGTAGTAATAGAGATTTACCAATAATAGAATACAAGGCTAACTACCAATCCTAGTGGTACAGGGAAGACACACACAACTACCTGCTAACCTTCTACGCTAATTCTCGACCTCCACACCTTCCTATCAAGGGTCATGTCCTTAGTAACCTGGAGCAACGCCAAATCCCGCCTAATCACCTTTCCCCAGTACTATTTTGGCCTACATCTACCTCTCTTCAGACTCACCGAGGCCAACCTCTCACACCTCCTCATTGGGGCATCTGTGCTTCTCCTCTTCACACGTCCAAATCATCCTAGCCTCGCTTCCCGCATCTTGTATTCCACCAAGGCTACTCCAACGCTGTCACGAATATCTTCAATTCTAAACTTATCAATCATGGTATGCCCACACATCTATCTCAACATCCTAATTTCTGCTACTTTCATCTTCTGGACATGTGAGTTGTTGACTGGCCAACACTCTGCTCCATACAACATGGTTGGTCTAACAACCACTCTGTAAAACTTACCCTTAAGTTTAGGTTGCACATTCTTATCGCATAGAACACCAGATGCGAGTCTCCATTTTACCCACCCCGCTCCAATACGATGTGTGACATCCTCAATCTCCCAATTTCCTTAGATAACATACCCAAGATACTTGAAACTATCTCTCTTAGGGATGACTTGTGTATCAAGCCTCACGTCCACGCTCGCTCCATCGATCTCATCACTCAACTTGCACTCTAAATGCTCCGTCTTGGTGCTACTCAACTTGAAACCTTTAGACTCCAGGGTTTGTCTCCAACCCTCCAGTCTTGTATTAACACTGCTTCACGTCTCGTCAATCAATACAATATCATCAGCAAATACATAAACCATAGCACCTCCCCTTGAATGTGGCATGTCAGCGTCCAACGCCAAGGCAAATAAAAATGGGCTAAGAGCCGACCCTTGGTGCAACCCCATCACAACTAGAAAGTGGTTCGGATCCCCTCTCTCTATCCTCAGTTGTGTTTTAGCTCCATCATACATGTCATTAATCAACCTAATGTAAGCCACAGGAATACCCCTAGCCTCCAAACATCTCTGTGAAAGAAGAAAAGAAGAAAGATGGTGAATGGAGTGCTTGATTATTCCCTCGAGCTGTTGGATTTAAATAACCTTCGACAGAAATACAGATAAGGAAAGACTACAATTACAAGCCTACAAAATCTCATTACTTAATTACAGGGATTTGTGTGATTACATGGATTTGTGTACTTTTCATATTTAAATAGTATAAATTCTTGCCATATTTAACACTCCCCCTCAAGCTGGAGCGTACAAGTCATATGCTCCTAACTTGCTACAGATATCGCCAATTCTGGATCCTCGGAGTGATTTTGTGAGGACATTTGCTAGTTGGTCTTTGGAGTTGACAAATCTCGTAACAATGCACCCGGACTCAATTATTTGTCGAATGAAGTGACAATCCACTTCAATATGCTTCGTTCTTTCATTTAATACTGGATTTGAAGCGATATATAATGCGGCTTGATTATCACAAATCAATTTCATCGGCTCGTCCCCTTCAATCTTTAACTCCTATAGAAGTTGCCTTAGCCATATAAGCTCGCAAGTAGCCAATGCCATAGCCCGATATTCTACCTCTGTGCTTGACCTAGCCACCACATCTTGCTTTTTACTTTTCCAGGATATTAGGTTGCCTCCAATTAAATTACAATAACCTGAAGTGGACCGTCTATCAAAGGGAAAACCTGCCCAAGCTGCATCAGAATACCTAACAATGTCTGCATGTCCCTTGTTTTCATCAATGAACCTTGTCCCGGAGAACCTTTGACATATCTTAGGATGCGAATTGCTGCATCCCAATGAGCGTCACAAGGTGATTGGAGAAACTGGCTAACCACACTTACAACAAATGAGATGTCAGGTCTCGTGATCGTAAGATAGTTGAGTTTGCCAACAAGTCTTCGATATCTTCCGGGATCTTTTAGAGGCTTCCCTTGTCCCGGAACAAGTTTAGTATTTGGATCCATGGGACGGTCCACGGGTTTG